GCATGTTTGTTTGATTTTTCAGTTAAGCTATCCTTTGACAAATTCTAGTGTTAAATTCAAAATTGAATTGAATTGACTTGCGTTGTTATTACAAAAACACTGATTGATGGATCCAGCTTCTTGGCATGCCCAATGAAATCATTCAATTTAACTGAGGTCAAATACAGCTTTTTACTAACACAATCACGCACAGATGTTTAAGAATGACTATGAAAAGATGCTTAAGTGAAACCATGTGAATTGGATATATACATGTGCTATTACATTTCCAGAATTTGTCATTGTGGTTGGCCCATGGACCCTTATGACTCTAATTGTTAGACCCCAGACTATTATTAATAACAGATATTAATACCACTGTATTAATATGAAACATTGCCTACTACAATAAATCACTATGGGCGATGTGTCAGCTCCTGGGTGAAAAGAAGAGTGCCAAAACACCACTCCTAAAATATGATCAATTATATGAAACATCACCCAGGGCGATCTTTCAGATAAAAATACAGTTTATCAAAATCTTAACAATAATTTTAATTTTTGTTTTAGTCCTGACTTGCATATTTTGACAGTTGTTGATAAAAAAAATAATCAATATATTATCATTTTTATTTTACCTGTAAGTTGAACACCACTACTTCATATTCATGTTCACTTATTGTATGATTAGATGAGATCAGATTATTTATAGTTGTGTTATTCTGTGTTTCAGGGTGGGATAAGTGGTAAAACTTCACTCACAGCGTACATACTGATTGCGCTGATGCAAGAGAATGATATGTTGGATGGCGAAATTCCTGCGGTAAGTATTGAAAACACATCAAGGAATTAATTACTATGATCTTTCATTGAGCGTATATATCTTATAGTTGCATTGTCAGCACAATTTTGTTTGAAAGCTTTGACTGTTATATGCGTGTTCTGTTAATAAAAACAGCTACGGTAACAGATATCTTCCTGGCCAATAACCAAACATCACGGAGCAGTAGCTTTGTAATAGATCATTTTCCGTTCACTGCGGGATCCAGCGTTATGTGTGAAATCGAGCATAAAACAGGACAAACAAAGGTCATAGCGTTGTAGTGATGACAAATATCGCGTGGGATTTGAAAAAAGTATTTTTGGGGGTATTTCCACGCATAATAATGTGCTGTACACATTTGATGATGGTCAATTTCTATGAAGTAATGATATCTAAACGCAATATTCCCCAGTCAAGGATTGGCCTTCGAATTTGAGCTATGAAAGAGGAAATTCCAGTTCAAAATCAAATAGTTCGATTTTTGCAGCAGACGTTTGGTCCACGTCTTTCACACAATACGCGAGTTCTCGCAGTTGACGGAAAATCACCTACTGAAGGTGTCATCAAGTAACCGAATCACACGTGGGACCTCTGTATAATGATCAAAGATGGCTTTTATTTAATACAAAATCGATTCCCACAGATAGTATGATTTTCACACCAGATTTTGAGTTGTTTTCTGTACAGCTGTGTAAAGTTCCTTTCATTGATAGCAGAACAATTTTATTCATGTCTCCCCTGCGAACATACAACATTATTAGTTATAGTTATGTTCAGCACAATCCTATAGCAGTAATCAGACTGCAATGCCTGACATGAATTACTGTAGTGAAGGCAAATAATAACTTTCAGTCACTGAAATTCTAGATTTTGGTCAAGTAATCTTACAATTGAACGGGCGTCAACAAAGTACTGTCAACATGTACCGGTAAATTTAAGTGTTAACAGTTCATACTTTTTTAGGGGTCACACTCTCCAACCTTCATTGGTCTCTTTTCCAAATTACTTTTCGGGGAAAATGTCTGTCATTGTCATTGTTGTCATCATAAAATATTCATTGAATTTCATATAGTTTCAAAAATTAGTTATAAAGTAATGTTAGTGCTATATCAAGATGAGTAACAGATTATGTTTGAAACAAATGTTGGAATTAAATTAAATACATTTTGTGATTATTCCAAGGTGAATATATTCATGGTAAACACAATGTTCTTCACAACACCAAATTGTGAAGAACCATTTAATGATCCAGACTTGAATGTTTTTAAATAAATTCTCTGTAGGACCTGAAAAGTGACATTACTCGTGCAAAGAACAGCGCCACATCATATCTGGAGAGTCATTTCAGTTCCCTCAATGATCTGTACTCTGTTGCTATCGTGTCCTATGCATTACATCTTGTTCAGAGCTCATGGAGGGATATGGCTTTCCAGAAACTCAATACTTTCAAGACAGAACAAGGTGAGAGGGATGTCATTCAGATTTCAATAATTTTGGTGCACACTTGCTTTATTTTATGTAATTTTCTCTGATTGCTTATAATCTTAGACCAAATGAACATAATTTGGTATTTGCTACTGGTATATTGATCGCATTTTTTTTTCTATGTGAAACGTGACAAAACTTGGGTTTGGCGTTAAAAGATTATACAAGAAATGCAAATGTGCGGCCATCTTGTTTTTCCATTGACATATGTTTCTACCCTTATATAACACATTTATGGATTTAGCTAGCAACGAAAATGTAAAAATGTGAAATTCTTTACATTTTGCTGAGATAAACATTCTATCAAATAAATGACAAAGATTAAATTTCCATGGAAACAATGACTTTTGTGACTTTCCCTATTTTGGTCATTTTGAAAAAAATGTTTTCTCTTTGTAAACCCTTACAGCATAAATTTCATTCCAGGTTTTTATAACAAGAGCAAAAATACTTTTCATTTCTTACCTAAATAACCGATCTTAAATACATGGCCAAATGATTTGGAGCATAAATGACAATGTATAATATAGAATTATTGATTTGTCTATATTATTGACAACTCTCCATAACGTGGTTATAAAAGAAATTTTTTATTTTCTATTTTTTTTTGCATAGATGGACTTGCATTCTGGAGTGAGAATAACGGACCAGTTGATGATAAACCTCAGAACTACTGGTACTACATGCCACCCTCTGCAGACATTGAAATCACTGGGTATGCTTTGCTGACGTATAATCTCCGAAGGGATTTGGATGGTGCTGGTCCCATTGTAAGATGGCTGACAAAACAAAGCAACGGATATGGTGGTTACTCTTCAACTCAGGTATCAGTCAGTCATTCATTTACATAGCCAATATTAAAGAGTTATGTGATTGGTTAATAACCAGGAGCTTAATGTGATTGGCCATGAACACCCATTTATTTGTTGAATAGAATAGTCACCATTTTAACAAAGTCTGTCTGCTTACTGTAAAAGGGTTAATTACATTGTATTCACGCATTTTCCAGTCAGCGAAATAAGCAAATTTAAAACCCAGTGAATATGTAAAATTGAGCATAAAACACATTAGCTAAATGATAAAACCGTGAATTTAAAACGCATTGAATATGCCTGAAATGCTAAATCAGTGAAATTTAAACCCACTGAAAATTTGTCATTGTACAGTATCATGCTGTAAAAACAAGTTAACCGTAGAATTGATAAATATGCACAGCTAATCAAACATAGCGAATGACCAGTTTGTTTCTAAAAATGCAAAAAACTTAAAACCTATCCTGATATTGGCCAATATACTGTTTATATATATTTGGTTTTTTGAATGCTATTGCCTAGATATTGGTGACTATATTGGTGCCTTGGCAAAAGTTCTCTATACAAATGCATGAACATGACGTAGTGGAGCACTCATAACATGCAAAGTGTCTATTTGGTTTAACATTTAGCTGTTATATATATTCTAAGCTCATACATCTTTATGGCAGGCACTCTTTGACTGAACTTGCTGTGTTAGTATACAAAGACGAGATGTAATGGTTTGCATGTGTTTGCTTCTGATCTAATCCAGTTAATCCTGTAATAATATTATCCACATTTTTATGACTTTGATTGTTTTCTATTTTTTGTCATTCTCATTAAATTATTTTATATACAAAGTAAGCATGGATGTATTTGTCTTCTGTCTGCAGGACACTGTTATTGCGCTCGAGGCACTATCCGAGTTCGCAATCATGACAGGCTCTGGGGACAAGGATATTACCCTGGTCATTGAAACAAATGAATTGTCCACCTCTCAGCATACACTGGTTGTCAATAATGACAATTCTGTTGTTCTCCAGCAAATTCAGGTTTGTTTACATTTTATGATATCATACGTCTCTCTTCTGTGATTGGCCACTAAGAAGATACAATGTAACTGGCTACAAACAAGGTTCTATGTGATTCAATGTGCTATATGGGATTAGCCAATAACAAGGAGTTATGTGATTGGTTAATAACCAGGAGCTTAATGTGATTGGCAAATCATATGGTGCTATGTGATTAAGCAATGATAAGGAGTTATGTGATTGGCCAATTACAAAGAGTTTTGTGATTGGCCACTATCAAGAAGCTATTTTATAGGCCACTATCAAGAACCTATGTGATTGA